CCCTCCCCCTCCCCACAACAGACACCCTGTGAGGTAGGCGGGGCTGAGAGAGATCTCTCGAGAACTGCCCTTGAGAGAACAGCTCTGAAAGAACCTGTAATGGACCCAAGATTGGATTTATACCCTGCCCTTCACTCGGAGTGGCTTACAATCTCCTTTCCCTTCCCCTCCCCACAACAGACACCCTGTGAGGTAGGTGGGGCTGAGAGAGCTCTCTCGAGAACAGCTCTGAAAGAACCTGTAATGGACCCAAGATTGGATTTATGCCCTGCCCTTCACTCGGAGTGGCTTACAATCTCCTTTCCCTCCCCCTCCCCACAACAGACACCCTGTGAGGTAGGCGGGGCTGAGAGAGCTCTCTCGAGAACTGCCCTTGAGAGAACAGCTCTGAAAGAACCTGTAATGGACCCAAGGTCACTCCAGCAGCTGCACATGGGAGAAGCCAGGAATCAAACCCAGTTCTCCCGGATTAGAGTCCGTGCTCCTAAGCACTACCCCAAAGTGGCTTTCTCGTGCACACTGCTGGATGCCACCCTAGCTCTCCCTCCCCGACCGCCAACTCACGTTGATGCAGAAGAGGGTGGTCATGCGGTGCAGGTAGTTGGGGTCGTTGGACATGGCCAGCACCTTGGGGATGATGGTGGCGTGGGCCCAGTCCTTGCCAAACTTCTCCACGAGCTTCTTGAGGTTGCTGGTCGCCGCCTCCCGGATGGCATAGACTGGGGCGGGGGGGAGACAAAGAGAGGTGAGGCACGAGCCAGCCGCACAGGTGGAGGTCAGAGACCATAAGACTGTGCCCAAAGGGGAACCCCTAAGGAATCTCTGCCTTTTCCGCCCTTTTCAGATATCCTGACAAGTGGTGCCGAGCTTAACGTGTGCCAGGATGTTTCTCTCTTGAATCAGGGGCCTGGCTTTTACTCTGGACTGCTGCGAGAGCCTGCCACCTACAGAGAGAGAGACAGTCCTGCTCACCGCATGGACAGAGCCAGGAGAAAAGTCCTGCAGCAGTTTCAGCCCTGAGCCACCTTTCTCTACATCACACACTTAACCTCATCTCCACCAGGCCTGTAGGGAGAGCTACACAACCCCTGTATAGAACAAAAGTCTACAGGAGCTTCCCCACGGACTAAATAACTTTCAATGCACCTTGCAACGGGATTTTACTGTGTGAAATGGCAAAATCCACTTGCCAACAGTCGCTGAAGTGAAAAAAGAACGAGGAGGAGGGATTGGATTTATACCCTGCCCTTCACTCAGAGCGGCTTCCAATCTCCTGTCCCTTCCCCCTCCCCACAACAGACACCTGGGTGAGGTAGGTGGGGCCGAGAGAACTCTTTTGAGAACTGCTCTGAAAGAACTTGTGACTGACCCAAGGTGACACCAGCAGCTGCATGTGGAGGAGTGGGGGAATCAAACCCGGTTCTCCAAGATAAGATTCCACGCTCCTAACCACCACACCAAACTGGCTTGAAATGGCCAGTGGATTGAAAGTAGATTGAAACAGCATCATTTAGCATGTGGGGAAGCGCCCTGTGTGTGTTCCACACTGAGAATTTCCACTGGCTATGATTCTTGACAGATGCAGACCTGATCTGCTATGAGCCTGGGGATCTAGACAGCTTTGCCTATTTGAGCAAAGCCAACCGAAAGTGCAGCCCTGCGAACGGGTCACATTGACAGCTGCCCATACCGCCTTCACTGCTGCAGCGCCATCCCCCCCACCCCACCCCGGTGGGACCAGCTTGCCCAAGGAGACCAGGAAGGCTCCCGGGCTACTAGTCTCTCTCAGAATATGCGAAACGGAATTGTTCAGGAGGACGTTCTTACAAAGGGAATTAGGGCTGCAGCAAAATGGCACTAGATCAAGATGTGTAGCCGCGTTCGTCTGTCTGTAGCAGCAGAAGAAAGCAAGCGTCATTATGAGCTTTCCTGAGTCATTGCGGCATCATTTCGTGTATCACAAAAGGCCCATGCCCTGCCACAGATTTTGTTAAGTCTTTGAGGTATAATGGCATGGTTTAGGAGAGCGCCTTTATAAAGTGAAAAAAGATTGTCGTTTATCACACTACTTATTGAACATTATCTTGTTTTCGGATTTTTGTAATTCAACATCACAGACGTAACTCAGCATCATTTTTGCACCATCTGCGTCCTGGCTTTCACCGTTGATCACATAGCTTTTAAACACTTTTATCGTTTGCCTGGAGTCTCAGCAAGAAAGCTGGACCATGAATCTGGTGAACGGCAGCTCCGTTGTAGAACGACTCTAAGAAATGCCTTGGGACGAAATTACTGCTACTAGCGCTTTATGATATTACGGTTTTAGCATTTTTTCATTGTTACATGTTGTTCCTAATTCTATTTTAGGCGCATTGCAAAAAAATGTTAGGTGTTTTAGGTGAGCCGCCTTCGGCCGGGACAGACGTCTAATCAATCGATCACCTGAAATCTGTATAGTTTCCTGCCACATGAGAATTCCAAGCAGGGGAAAGAAGACAGCAGATGCCCGAGAGTTCCACCAGCAGGTTTCTACCATGACACCCTATATGTCAGATTCAGAAGGGCTTTGCTGCAGATTAGCAGGCTGCACAGCCTCTGTAAATCCCGCCTTTGTTACAGGCTGTTGGCGTGACCTTCAGTTGCCCTGTGTTGTGTGAAGGGGCTCCCAAAAGAACTTTTATTTTATTTATTTATTATTATATTTCTACCCCACCCTCCCCGCGAACGGGCTCAGGGCGGCTCACAAAAGGGCACATGTGCCTACTAGTATAAAACAGTAAAAAACACATAAAACAACCATTATCAGAATAAAGTGCTCAGAGTTAAAGAGGCTAAGACATTGAACTTGTGGCAGAAAGAAATATCGAAGTTTGTCTGGGCCGGGAAGAAGCCAAGGATTAAAATGAAGATTCTTTGTGATGCAAAAGAAAGTGGTGGACTTCAATTACCCAATATTAGACTTTATCATGATGCGGTGTGCCTAACCTGGTTAGAGCAATGGGTTAATTTGGATAACAAGAAGCTGTTGGCACTTGAAGGGCATGACTGTAAATTTGGATGGCACGCCTACTTGTGGTACGGGAAAATAAAAATGGACAAGCTTTTAAAACATCATTACATAAGAAGATCTTTGTTTGAGACGTGGTTAAGGTACAAACGTTTCTTTTTTTGAAGAAAGACCACTTTGGATAGTTCCGGCAGAAGTAATTAAACCATATTCGAGACACAAAGGAGAAGAGGACTCACCCAAGATGGCGCCAAGGCAGCTGCTCTGATTCTAACGCTCTGCAAGTTATCTGCTAATTTTACTTACTATCTTACCGTAATTTATTTATACAAAGGAGAAGACTGGATACCGTACAGAGACATTTTAAAAATAGAAGGGAGACATTTTGAGATAAAAGGAAGAGAAGAAATGGACTTTGAATATGATTGGCTAAACTACAGACAGATCTATGACCTATTTAAATCTGATAAAAGAGAGTTTGGGTTTAGGGGGAAATATAATGAAATGGAATGTGTATGGGTGGAAAAGGGTCAAAAAATGATATCAAAAATTTATAAGGTATTACTAAAATGGAATACAGAAGAGGAAATGGTGAAAGAACAAATGATAAAATGGGCACTTAATATGAATAAGGAAATCTCTATGTCATCTTGGGAATGTTTATGGAAAAATTCAATGAAAATTTCAACATGTAATAATTTAAAAGAAAATTGTTTTAAAATTATGTATAGATGGTATATGACGCCTAAAAAGATTGCTAATATGAATGATATGTCAAATAAGTGCTGGAAATGTAAAAAAAAGAAGAAGGTTCTTTTTACCATATGTGGTGGACTTGTGAAAAAGCAGTTAATTTTTGGACGGAGGTCCATAACGAAATGCAGAAAATCTTGAAATGTAACTTTAAAAAAGAACCAGAAATACTTCTTTTGGGTCTTAAAATGGAGGAAGTGAATGTAAATAAGAGAACATTGTTATGGTATTTGATTACAACGGCAAGAATGACTTATGCCCAGTATTGGAAACAAGACCGAGTACTTGAGGTTTGGGAATGGATTAGAAAAATGCTTTTTTTTGGCAGAAATGGACAAATTGACAAGGAAACTTAACAACAAAGAAGACGAAGAGTTTTTTTGCAGACTGGATGGACTTTAAAGAGCATCTAGAGAAATATTGGGATGTTAAGAACAACTTATTGTGCTTTAATAATTACACACACACGCTCCCTCAGTGACCTCTGCTCTACGAGGAAGGCAAAAAAGAGTTGAACAGAAGACGATGGTAGTTAAAGAAATGTTACCCATGAGACAGAATATATGAAAAAGGTAGTTAAAATAATAGTTATCCATTAAACTGTGTTTTAGAAGGAAGGATTAGACAAGAAAAGAAACTAGGTAGGGGTGGAATCACTGCGGGAAGCCTGGTGAAGGGGAGGGAGGGAGCAAGGGGAGAGGGCTATACTAGAAATGAGGGAATGTTATAATATTGGACATGTTGTTATAACCCGATAATATATATTTTTTAAGAGAGTAAAGTGCTCAGCAGTGTTGTTGACTTTCTTCTTTGTCATGCTCGTTAGCAGCTTATCCAGGATGCCTGACTTGTTTCCTCTCACCACTAGACTGCCAGGTGTGAGACGGCCTGCCTCATTCCTAGTGTTTGGGACAGCCTAATGACTTGACTCGCAGAAGAGAAGAGATTGGATTTGCACCCCGCCCTTCACTCAAGAGTCTCAGAGTGGCTTACAGACTCCTTTCCCTTCCCCTCCTTCACAGCAGACACCCTGTATAAATCAATGGTGTGACCTCGTTTGGAATAACGTGTACAGTTCTGGTCACCACGCCTTAAAAAGGATATTATAGCATTGGAAAAAAAGTGCGTAGAGAAAGAGGTACTTTTCTCCCTCTCTCACCATACAAGAACTCGTGGGCACTCCATGAAATTGCTGAGTGGTCGGGTTAGAACAGATGAAAGGAAGTACTTCTCCACCCAAAGAGTGATTCACACATGGAATTCACTGCCACAGGAGGGGGTGGCGGCTACAAGCATGAATGGCTTGAAGTGGGAATTAGATAAGCATATGGAGCAGAGGTCCATCAGTGGCTACGAACCACAAGGTATAGACAGGGACTCCGGGGCAAGTGATACTCTGTATTCTTGGTGCTTGGGGGGATCAATAGCGGGAGGGCTCCTAGTGTCCTGGCCACACTGCTGGATCTCCTGATAGCACCTGGTATTTTTGGCCACTGTGTGACAGAGTGTTGGACTGGATGGGCCATTGGCCTGATCCAACATTGGCTTCTCTTATGTTCTTATGAGGTTGGTGGGGCTGAGAGAGCTCTGAGAGAAACTGCTCTTTTCAAGAACAGCTCTGACAGAACTATGGCTTGCCCAAGGTCATCCAGCAGCTGCAAGCAGAGGAGTGGGGAATCAAACCCGGTTCTCCCAGATTGAGTCCATGCACTTAACCACTACACCAGACTGGTGTAGCCAGCAATGAGGGTATAAGATGCTTAGTTTTAGCTATGTGTCTTGTCTCGAGGTCTGGCTAAGTCTCACTGTGCGTGTGACGCCCAGAGGATGGGAGCTCAGCCTGCTATTTCTGTAAGCTTGATCTCCTTGTAAGCAAACCTGGATCCTGGGGATTTCTGTGAACCCTGGAGCTTGCAGCCAGAGCCCGAAACACAGGTCCAGAACAGAAATATCTGGAACTGACAAAACTGCATGGTATGCCAAGGGAGAAAGTTTCCATCAATCTAATCAGTGAAACAACGGAGACCCAACTCCCCAGACTGGAAATAAGAGACCAATTCTGTTTACCAACAGCTTCAGACTCTCCTCCTTTCAACAGATATCTGACCCTTTCAGTCAGCCAGGCGTTTTGTTTGCTCGCCAAATGGTATTATGAGTTGACCTTTTTAGTAATGGTGCAGCTTGATCATTTTACAGCATTTCTGTGCCTCTTGGACCACTGATTTTTAATCTGCTTTCCGCTGTGTGCTATATTTATAGTCGATGGCTGCTTTGACTAATTTGGTTTTTATTTTTTAATGGTGCATTTCAATTTGTCGTGAGCTGTCTCGAGTGGACATCTGGAGAGCAAGTTACCTATTCGGGGAGAATTTATGGAGTGCTTTGGCGGCATCAAAGCCGAACGACACAATCAGGCAGCTCTCTCAAAACAACTGTGAAATAACGCTTTAATCAGCGGACATCCTTTGCTGCAAGTGCACCCGGAATTAATGCTCTCGACCACCATGGAAACAAACTGGACTCCTCATTACATCGTTATAAAACACGGCCATTAACCCGAGCTTAATTGCTGAAAAAAGTATATCTGCTTTTAGAGCACAAAAATGCAGCCCCGGTGTTTTTTTTACTCCCGCGTTAAAAGCCTGAATGAGTCAATACTCGCTGCTGGGGGAAAAAAGAAAAGTTCACAACGAAACTGTCGGAGAAAGGAAGCTTTGAAATACAAGTTCAAGCTGTGGCTTTGCTGGTTAGACTTTAAAAAAAGCAATAGATATCTTTAGGACTTGGGCCCGGAGCCAAAGAACCACTTTAATGTACACACAACCGCTGAGCTATGGTCTCCCCTATGGGTAATTGCGCCAAACGTGTAAAACCGAGGCGTTAGTCCTCTCCTGCCATCTGTTCCAGCCCAGGTTTTGGTACCCCCCCCACTTCCCTCTGCCTCAGAGGACTGCTAGTGAGTTACCTATCTGGAAGCAGAACACTACAAGTATGGCAACGATGGGGGGCGGGGTCGAGAATCAGCAATGGAGGGAACAATGAAGATTTAAGGGATGCTTTAATGAGAAGAAGACGATACTGGATTTATACCCTGCCCTTCACTACTCCCAAGGAGTCTCAGAGTGGTTTACAATCTCCTTTCCCTTCCCCTCCCCACAACAGACACCCTGTGAGGTAGGTGGGGGCTGAGAGAGCTCTCTCGAGGACTGCCCTTGAGAGAACAGCTCTGAGAGAACTTGTGACTGACCCAAGGTCACACCAGCAGCTGCTTGCAGAGGAGTGGGGAAATCAAACCCGGTTCTCCTGACCACTACACCAAACTGGATCCTTACCGTGATCCACCAGCCATGCCATGCAAAGGGAGTTCAGCTTTTCATCAAAGAATTCCACACCCTGGAGAGAGGAAATGGCGATGAGCTCAACGTGAACATCCGAGAGTGTCAAAAACAGGCATTACCACCTCCGGAGATATAAACTTTGGCTCAAATGGGGCAGCTTAAGAAAAAACAAGCACGGCGGACACCCCCAGGACGCTGGCTGAGTACCCAGCACTCAAACCCAATACTGAATAAGCCCACTGGTCTATCCTACTCAGTCTTGTCTGTTCTGACCAGAAGCGCCCCTCCAGGGACTCAGGTAAAAGTCATTCACAGCACATACTACTTTATCTTTTCTCTTTTTTTGAGATCTGGAGATGCAAGACTGAACGTGGGACTTCCTGTATGTAAAGAACACAGAACCATCAAGGGTCATCTAGTCCAACCCCCTGCACAGGGCACAAAACTCACAACTACACCCCCCCACACACACACACTCCCTCAGTGACCTCTGCTCTACGAGGAAGGCAAAAAACCTTCAGGATCCCTCGGCCAATCTGGCTGGGAGGAAAATTCCTTCCTGAACCCGAAGCAGCGAATGGCATCCCCGTGGACATGCAAAACAGGGGCCACGAGAGCCTAGCGCTGGCGCATCCCTCCCTCTTGCGATCTGTCCGAATGTTCTGCTGCTTAGCCACGGCCCCTCCTAAGTGGTACGGTTGCCAGATTCCTGCCAGAATTACCAGCAGCAGCACAAGCCAGGCACTCCCCCGCTTGTCCTTAGAAACAACCTCAGATCGCATTGTCCTCGGCACTCGCTGTACTCCCGGGCTCCCCAAGCCTGGTTCTGACCGCAGCCAAAAGAGCACTTACCAGCTGCCCGGCCAACAGGGGCATGTACTCAATGATGGCCAGCCGCACCCGCCACTTGGCGTCCTCTGCCAACTCCACGATGGCCGGCAGCAGGGACTGGGAAAGCTGCCGGATGCCGATCACTTCGTTCACGCAGTCCAGGTTGGAGATGATGTTGAGTCGGACTTCGGGGCACTGCAGAAGAGAAGGGAGGCAGCTGAAAGGGGCTGGCTCTGCTGCAGCGTCACGCCTCACTCCCCCCGCTTCACCTTTAACTAACCCTTTTGATACGAAGCTGAGGGGATCTTGAAAGGTCTTGGGCCACCGCTGCGGTGCCGGAACAGAGCAGCCTGGCCAAACTGGATAGGAATGGTTCTACATATGAAGCTGCCTTATACACAATCAGATCACTGTTTCTTCTGCTACGGTCTACTCCAACATCCGGCAGATCGACAGGACCTTATGAACAGGTCTTTCCAGCTAGACGACCTCAGACAGCTGTGCTACCAGCAAGCCCTGGGCCTCGTTCATGCAGACCTCGTGCTCTACCTATGGGTGTCTGTTGTGGGGAGGGGAAGGGAAAGGAGTTTGTTAGCCGCTCTGAGACTCCGAGTGAAGGGCAGGGTATAAATCCAATCTCTTCTTCGTCTTCTTCTCCTCTCCTTCTCCATTACTCCCTCTAATCCAGCAGTTCTCAACCTGGGGGTCGAACGACCCTTTCACAGGGGTCGCCTAAGACCATCGGAAAACACAAATTTTCAATGGTCTTAGGATAGGGCTCCCAAGTCTCGCCAAATCGCAGCGGGGGATCGCATCTCTTTTTGTGATTAATCACTATGCTTTAATTAAGTCCAATTTGTAACAATGAAAATACATCCTGCATATCAGATATTTATATTACGATTCAGAACAGTAGCAAAATTACAGTTTTGAAGTAGCAATGAAAATAATTTTATGGTTGGGGGTCACCACAACATGAGGAACTGTATTAAAGGGTCGCGGCATTAGGAAGGTTGAGAACCACTGCTCTTATCCATCCCCAAGTTGTTAAAAAACTCACTCTAGAAGAAGAGAATGGATTTATACCCTGCCCCTCACTCCCCAAAGGCGTCTCAGAGCAGATTATGATCTCCTTTCCCTTCAAACCCGGTTCTCCCAGATTAGAGTCCACGCTCCTAACCACTACACCACCAGGACGTGTTTTACTTAATCGATATGTATATACCCCGAAGAAAAAAAATGCTAACTAAGGTACAGTATTTTCCAGGATACTGTTTCCAGGGTCAGAGTTTGGTTTCTAAAGTACAAAAGAGTGGAATGAAAAAGGCAGCAGCACTAGCCATTAAGGAGGACTGGCTTGCGACCCACTTGAGGAATCTTAACAACCTACAGGGTGTCAGCTGTAGCTGCCATGAGTATGGTAAATGTTTTTAATTGCTTCGCATTCCTTCCCATGCGCTTAACTGCATCTAAGCTGTAACGCGTATCTCTCAAGGTCACAGGAGGGGTTGGTATGTCTACGTTTCGGGAAGCTCTTCACTTCCCCTGCTTTGCAGCCATTAGAAAATCTGCCAAATGCCCACGCGCGGGAGCCCATCTAATTGGGTAATGGGGGGGCATACGAATGCCCTATATCCTATTATGTGCGTAGGTAATCCGCCATTCCTAACAGTGTTCATGTTACTGCATCTATAGCTTTTCAATAAAAGTAAAACCTTCCTAGAAGCATGTACTTCGTTGTCTTGCTGTGGATCCTGACATTGGGTGAGAAACACTGGGCTCTCCTGACTCCCTAGAGCTAACTAAAACAACTCTTGTTTGTGTCACCCCCAACCCAAACCAGCCAGTGGGGTGACGGAGCTTGGGAGATCTGAGCAGGAAAAAAGGCTACGTCTCTGAAAGAAAGGAACTGGAGTGGGACAAAAGAACTGTGGCTCCCCAGACCGGAAGGGCGGGAAGGAGGACTCACCTCGTCTTTGAGCTGAGCCAGGAAGAGAGGCAGGAGGTGCTCGATCGTGTTGTCCTTGCCCAAAATGGGCGACAGTCCCATGATCACAGATGCCAGAGCGGACTTCACGTGCTGATTGGCATCCGACACCAGTTCCTAGAGGACACAAGGAAAGAAGCCACGATAACTCATTGTTAAGCACCTTCCCCAGTTCCACTTCACATGCCCCTCGGGTTTCTTGGTCCTCCACGCAGTAAGCGAGAGGAGGAGGAAAGACGCACGATGGCTTTGAGCACTGCCACAGGAAGTTACGGCAAACCATGGCTCACTTTCTCTCTCACACACATATACATTAAGGGAATTTGTATTCTGCAAACGAACACTAAGAGCCATTTCCAGAATGCCTATCCATCACTAAGCTCGGATACACTTTTTGAAGCACTTTTACCGTGGGATGGAAATTAATATAGAAATGTGGCCAAAGAGACTGAGCCACATTAGTGTAGGATGGTGATTGAGAGACTGAGCCCAGTTAATGTAGGATGGTGACCAAGAGACTGAGGTGAGTTAAGGCAGAATGACCGAGAGACTGAGCCGAACTAATGTAGGACAGTGACAAAGATGCTGAGCTGAGTTAATGTAGGAAGGTGTCCAAGAGATTGAGCTGAATTAATGTCGGACAGTGACCAAGATGCTGAACCAGGTTAATGTAGGAAGGTGTCCAAGAGACTGAGCTAAGTCTCGGGATCCACTATCAGAAAAGATATTTCATTCATAGGTTTTCTAAGATCTTATTTTTTGTTTTGTTAAGAACATAAGAGAAGCCATGCTGGATCAGGCCAATGGCCCATCCAGTCCAACACTCGGTGTCACACAGTAGCCAAAACCCAGGTGCCATCAAGAGGTCCACCAGCTGGGCCAGAACTTCAGAAGCCCTCCCACTGTGCCCCCCCCAAAACACCAAGAAGACAGAGCATCACTGCCCCAGACAGAGTGTTCCTATCTACACCTTGTGGCTAATAGTCACTGATGGACCTCTGCTCCGTATATTTATCCAAATCGCTCTTGAAGCGGTCTATGCTTATAGCTGCCACCTATGTTCCCTCTAAGCTGTGGAGTCTTGTGAGCAAAATTTCCACTTTGTGAGCTCCTGGCATTAAAGTTGTGAGCGAGCGATTTGGCTACTGCATAAATTAGTTAGCTCTGGTGCCATCCTTCCTAAGCTAAGATAAGAATGTGTGAGCCAGAGGCTAAAAAACTGTGAGCTAGCTCACACTAACTCAGCTTAGAGGGAACACTGGCCGCCACCACTTCCTGCGGCAGGAAATTCCACATGTTAATTACTCTTTGGGTGAAGGAGGACTTCCTTTTATCTTGTCAAGGCTGGGCGATAACAGGAGCGTACATGTATGCAAAGGAAGACTGACCGGAGTGCCAGGAAGTCAGCTTAGTTTCCGAAAAGCTTCTGCAGCCCTTGACTTGACCAAGGCCTTGGCCAGAAGCTGGACTGGAAAGCCCCCCCTCTCCCCACTCCCACCTCCTTTCTGCTCTGATTGCTCAAAAGAGCCTGGATTCAGTGGTGCTATAAGCCATTAACACCTTTGCAAGACTGTGATTCAGAGGATGAGCCGGAGTTGATTTGGAACAGGCTAAAAAGCTCTCTAGAGAAGCTGCGGGAGTGACACACACCTTGATGCAGGGCAAGATCTGGGTCATGATGACATTCTCACGGCAGTCCGGAGACAAGTTCTCACAGAACTCTAGGAGAGCAAGGGGAAAAAATGGTCATCGTGTTAGCGGAGCACTGTTAACTGAAAAGGACACAGCAGTGGACAACCAGGATCAACTCAAGGTTCGTACATTCATTAAACGGCACCACTAGGTTTGCTAACCCAAAATCCACAGAACACACATGAAGCTGCCTTATCTTGAATCTGGACTCTGGTCTATTAAGACCAGTATCATTTACTCAGACTGGCGGCGGCTCTCCAGGGTTTCAGGCAGAGATCTTTCACGTTGTCTGTTGATCCTTTCCAACGGGAGAAGCCTGGGGTCTAAACCTTGGGCCTCCTGCATAGGACTGTTCCTGACTAGGGATGGGCACAAACCAGAAAAATGGAGGTTCGTCCCAGTTCGTGGGGTCACACGAACCACGAACCTTCACAAGCCTGTTTACTAAACTGGTTCGTTTTGTGAGTTTCGTAATGCTGTGGGGTTTCCCAAGGCCAGCAGAATCGAGAGGGGAGAAGATCTTGCAGAAGCCATTTTCAGGGAACATGCCCTTTAAATGGCTTTTGCAAGTTGCGCATGAGTGAAGTCCAAGCAAACGAACCCGCCGCTTGGACTTCACTCACACACGAACCACTGACACGATCCACACAAACTGCCGTGAAAAACACGGAGGTTCATTGTGGGCGTGATTGCACTACCTTCAACTCATGAACCAGGCAATGTTTGTCACAAAATTAGGTTCGTGAACCAGTTCATGCCCATCCCTATTCCTGACCTTCTCCTAGAAAATTATCAGCTGAATCTAATTTCTGTGTATGGATCCATCCCTTGTTGCTTAGCTGCTGTAGAGTAAGACCCTTCAATTGTACTACTCTCCTTCCTAACCCATCAGCTACATCAGATCAGAACAGTCACAGCTGGGTTTGTCTTTCCGTCTATCACAGAACAGGGATATAGCTCCCTTTGAAACACACACCTAGCTAAATGCCTAGAGCAACCAGAGTACAGATCTCAAGTGCTTAGACTAGCCCCTGGGCCTTCTGTCGTGTTACCTTAATGGTTCTATCTCAATTGCCTGTACGCGCTACTCAAAAGTTCTGAATGCATGCAGATGAAGAAAGGTTTATATACAAAAAAAATCTCACTGCATTATTTGATTTCATTCTTACGGCAAAATATTTACCCCTGCACTGAACACAAGCAGCTGTCTCTGGGGTTTCAGGTCATGCTGTGCATGAGGCCTGATCTTAAGAACCTACTAGATCTCTGGAAGATCCTTCACTTCCAGTCACCTTAGAATGCATAACCCTCTACCACAACTACTTGAGCCCACCCCACCCAAGCTCCGTTCCTGCTGTAGGTTTTCCCTGACATGGAGATCCCGCATGGCCAACAGGGAGGGACTCTGAGCCATGGCCAAGACAGACCTTTGACCTTATGGGAGGCCGCAGCGCGCACTTCAGCTTCACAGTCTTTCATGAGGTTCTGGAAGGCCGGGACTAAGTCGGTCTTGGTGATTTCTGGTCCAACTGCTTTCTGGAGCTGTGGGAAACGAAAAGAAAAACATAAGAACATAAGAGACGCCAATGTTGGATCAGGCCAGAGGCCCATACAGTCCAACGCTCTGTGTCACACAGTGGCCAGAAATACCAGGTGCCATCAGGAGGTCCAGGTGCCAGGACATTAGAAGCCCCTCCCATTGTTTACCCCCCCCAAGCACCAAGAAGACAGAGCATCACTTGCCCCAGAGCCCCTATCTATACCTTGTGGCTAATAGCCACTGATGGACCTCTGCTCCATATGCTTATCTAATTCCCTTTTGAAGCCGTCCATGCTTGTAGCCGCCACCACGTCCTGTGGCAGTGAATTCCATGTGTTAATCACTCTTTGAGTGAAGATGTACTAGCTGCTGGGAACTATGAAAGGAAACCCAGTGTTGGCCAACACAGATGCAAACACTATCTGTACTTCTGGCCAAAGACCAAGCATCTATGGTACTGTCAGAGAAACCAGGCCGGAAATGTTGCCAGTTTTCCAACGCTTACCTCCGTGAACTTGTCAGCCACCATGTAACGGACTCTCCAAGATTTGTCTTCTGCTGCTTGCCGTAGCGTCGGCATCACCAAGGACTCCAGGTCCTCCTGGGGCAGGAGCTGAGCAATGTTGACACAGGCCTCCACAGCCAACAAGCGAACAGAGTCCTAAAGTAAGAGACAGGAGAGGAGGACAGAGAAGCTTTAACTCATGCACAGGAGGAAACTAGCCCCCAGATGCTCTTATTTTATCCCATTCCCAGCTCAACCCCCTAGATGCCTCCCACCAGACCTAGCCTTCACACGGACCTGCTCATCGGAGGCCAGGTTGGAAAACATGGGGATGATCTCGCTCTTGACGTGTTCCAGCTCCAAGACCTTAGCAAATTCACCCAGCTTGGAGGCTGCGGCTCGCCTCACCATGGGGGTGTCATCTGAGCACAAATTCCGGAAATACCTGTGGAAGGAGCAAAGACCACGGGTTGGGAAACACGAGCCCGTCCAAGCACTGTCTCTTACCCGTGGCCAACCCAGACGAGGCCTCCCCCTCCAGCCTTTGTCTTAAGACACCTCACTTACTGTCGGAGCTCAGCTTTGACGGAACTGGAGACTCGGGGATAACAGACGCTGAAGAGGCCGCAGGCCGAGGTGCGGGAGGTGAACCAGTCACCCCCAGCTAGGCGCTTCACCAAGGGCACGAAGTGGGCCTCGAGGTCAGATGGAGAGTGTTCGTGGGACGTCGCCCGCAGGGACTCCACGGCCTTGTCCCGCACCACCGTCTCCTCAACCGTGGCAAGGCTCTCGAGGGGCGGCTGCGGGAGAGAGGACAGACTGAGTAGGCAAAGAAAAGGCAGATGGGTATTCTGTTGCTCGCCATGCCCAACGCCGACACCTGACGAGTGGTTAAAAACCCTCCTTGTGACTCAATATGATTCACAGGTTCAACCTTCCCCAGGCGGAGACATCTCGGGGTAGTCTGGTCATCCATGTGAGCTCAGTGTCTTGGGAACCCTCACGGAGGGGCCGTGGCTCTGTGGGAACCAGCTGTTCTCCATGGGGAAGGCCCCAAGTTCAATCCCCAGCATCTACAGCTAAAGATTGCAGCTGGCAGATGTTGGGAATGACCAATCATTGCTCCTGACCCCGGAGAGCTTTTGCCACTCACATCAGACAACACCAAGCTACATGGTTCATTCCAGGGCTCTATTTGTAGCAGGAACTCCTTTGCATATTAGGCAACACACCCCTAATGTAGCCAATCCTCCAAGAGCTTACAGAGCTCTTCTTACAGGGGCTACTGTAAGCTCTTGGAGGATTGGCTACATTAGGGGTGTGTCGCTTAATATGCAAAGGAGCACCTGCTACAAAAAGAGCCCTGCCTCTGAACTGGTGTAAGGCAAATCTGTATGTTGCCAGACTAAAGCACGAAAAGGATGGTCTCTTATTATAAGGGGCTCACAACTTACCAGCAAGCAGTGGACATATTCAGGGCCCCCAACCAGAGCGGTGAAGGTTCCCAGCTGTTCTGCCAAAGCAAGAAGCACTTCATCTTCGTCATAGATGGTGTCTGCGGGAGAACGAGAGACGGGAACAGCAGATTGAAAATCTGCACGACTAGGGAGAACAGCATCTCTTAGTCCATGGGAACCTCTGGGCCATTTCATTTCATGTCATGTCCCAGCTTTTTTTGGGGGGGGGGGGTTTGGAATGGAGCGAATGTTTAGTGACAGAGTTCTAATGGGAGTGGAACCAGAAGAACAGGGGTGGGAGGGAGAGAAGAAAGAGAAATAGGAACAAGCGAGAAGTACAAAAATGGTTTTTAGGGGAAAAGCAGCCATTTGCATGTTGCTACAGTACTGTACAGTACAGTACTCCTGCCAACCTAAGCAGTTCGAAAGAAAGAAATTGCAAGTAGATAAATAGGTACCACTTCGGTGGGAAGGGAACAGCATTCTGTGCGCCTTGGTGTTTAGTCATGCCGGCCACATGACTACGGAAACATCTTCAGACAGCGCTGGCTCTTCAGCTTGGAAACGGAGATGAGCACTGCAACCCTAGAGTCGGACTCGACTGGCTTTCGAGCAAGGGAACCTTTTTAAAGGGATGAGGGAGGAGGTTCTCTCTTGATCTGATGGCAACATCAGAGAACCAGCGTGGTATAGCGGTTACAGTGTCAGGCTAGAACCTGGGAGACCAAGGTTCAAATTCCAACTGTGCCCATGGAAGCTTGCTGGGGGATCTTGAGCCAGCCACCAACTCTCAGTCTAACCAACCTCACAGTCTTATTGTCAGGACAAAATGGAGTGGGGGTGAACATCGTAAGCCGCTCTGGGTCCCCAGTGGGAAGAAGAATGGTGTATCAATGAAATAGACAAACACAGAAATTTGTCAGCATCCGCGTCTGTGAAGGACCTACTAGGTATTCTGCCATGGCACTGGTGCAGGGAAACAAACACAACCGAGGCTTATTTGCCATGTACACAAGCAGCAGGAAGCCCCGTTGTAAGAGGTACCGTGTTCGCTTCACAACATGCACACCCAGCAGCCATGACGGCCTCTAATAAAACACTCTAGACTTGTCGCATTAAAAGATGGCACCGTTTCAAATTCACAGCTATGGGTATAGGCTGTTCTTGTTACGTATATGAACAAACAAAAAAGATACACTCCGACAGCTCGGGGATATTGTGTATGTTCGGTACGTGCCCTGATCATTCCCGCTGCATCCCACAGTTCAACCAACCGCCCCAAATCGTTTGTGCCAGCTTCGCCAATTAGCGGCACGGACGTCATCCACGGCATTTGGGCCCCAGCTGAGGAATCTGGCATTTCAATAATCAACCCATTTGCCAGGGCCAGCAGGGGGCAGGGCACTGAGTACCGGACAATTTGCGCTGTCTCAAAGTGACTTTCCCTCGCCTGACAGCTGAGAAACGGTTTGTAAAGTGTTTCTGCTTGGAAAACACTGAAAAAGGCAGTATTAAAATAAACTGCATGAGCAATCTAGGAAGAGGCCAAACACACTTGCATGTATCCCGGAAACCCATCCATGGGCTTGG